CATACAACCATGTACCGTCCAATTTAAGCATAACAAGAAACACAGCAGCCATTTATAGAAATTAATGCCTAAAAACAATGAAAAGTTGGGAACAACTGAGTGAAAGAAAAACAGCAACACAACATAATATATGGAAGTAATACATGAATCCGAAAAGCAAAACCGTTATTATGACGTTTAATGACAAAGAGAGAGTAATTAACAATGCCATAAAACAAATGAAGTAATAACAAAATAAAAACGATAATCAAACAACATCGAATCACAATGTAAATTACCGATTGAACAACAGAAATCGAAATTCGTACACAACAAATATACATACCAAAAAAATTAGAAAACAAATACGGAGTACATTAAAACTAAAACTGAACCTATCAGAGTCTATTTGCGAAACACATATATGCACAATTATATATCATCAACAGTCCAGAATATGATTTAGCAGTATGTTCGAAGATAGATGTAATGAATATTCCTGAAAATGCAGCTTTGAGCTTACCTGCGGAAAACGCATGGGACAACAATACGGAGTATGAATGAAGAGAACTAAATTTGCAACATTAGCAGCAATGGCACGTCAGAAGAGAAATAAGAACAGAGATGATCCATAACATTGTAATTCGTAGACGGGAGAACGAAAGAAGGAAAGAAATATTGAAAGCTGCGCAGGAAATCTGGAACAGGAAGAAACGGTTACAAATGGGTAGCTTATGTGGCAAAGCTTCCGTATAAAGTAAGGGCATTTAAGGGGGAAAAAAGATTTGGAGCTGGCGGCAGACAGAAGCTCGTATTTGGGGAAATTAACTTAAGAGCTCCTATTATCACACTTTCCATATGTTTAACTCTCATTGAGGGTGATTTCTTTAAAAAAAAATGTTGTGGGCTGCCACGTGTGTGCCACATCAGCACGCAACCTGCTAAGCGATAGATATTTGTTAAAAATTGTTCTTTTACAAAAATTACATAGTGGAAGGGCATCATTGATGGAAGTTGTTGAACTTCCACACAGAAAACTTGTGAAGGAATCAAGTGATATATTAAGATTTGAAATAGTGCTCATACCAGGTTGATTTTTAAGGATGGAACCCCGCATCTTAGCGTGGTATTAGAGCCAAACCGGTCCATGGCGTGGGCCTCCTTGTAAAAATGATGACAATATTATAAAAAAATAATAATAAAGAATCGATGCAAAAAATGAATAAGGGCACGATCCAGACAAACTGTGTGATCGTGAGAAGGAGTGTTGAATTCTCACACTAAAAATTTGTGAAAGAATTAAGTGCTATATTAAGATCTGGATTACTCCTAATATCAAGTTGGTCTTTTACGATGGAATCTCGGGTCTTACCCTGACGTAAGAAGGCTTAATTAACTTCCCACAAAGAGTAAAATGAGTGATATGACACTTTCCTCAAATCAGTTCAAGTAAGACATTAGTTTTTAACTAGTGTCAAACATAATGAATTGAATAAATTTATACTTTGTCATGTTGGATAAATAATCCAAAAGCTCCTCGGTTCAAATTGACACCAGCTTTCAGCTCTTGATTGGCTGGAATTACTCAAGTTCCGCTAATAAATTTAAAAGTAGTTCTGTTTGGAAAGAAGGCTAAACTGAGCTGAAGCTGGAAAAAATGGACTTATTGGAAACGTTATGAGGCATAGCATTGCTATTCAGCCGATCATATAATATAGTTCTATTCCAAAATTAACCTCAAGTCTCGAACCGTTTGTATTCTTTCCTTTACTGCTAAATTCTACGATCATAATTCACAATCCTAGTCCTAGCTATCTCTTTACTACTCATCATCTCCACTACGGATTTCAGCGCAGCAAGAAGATGGTGAACCCGGAGAGTTTTATCCGACAGAGGATCGCCAAAACCAGCAAGCAATCCAAAAAGCTTTACAAGGAGAATTGGAGAATACGGACAAAGTGATCACGGAGGTGGAGTATAGTGCTTCACCGGCAAGGCGGCCGGTTGCAACATAGCCTCATCTTGACGGACTTGAATGATCTCACCTGGATGCTCAATTGACGATTCACAACCTCAAGGAGATCAACAAGAGGATAGAGGCTATCAGGAATGAGTCGGCGACAATCCATCCACTAAACGTAGTTCCTTTGGCTTTTTAGCTCCAGCAACACGAGGTGGAGTTAGGGTTATCACTACTAAAAACCGCAGTATAAGCACGAATTTTGACTCGATTTCCTTCATTACAATAAATATAAAAATCACTCCAATAAATATATTTTATTTTATTAATAATCATATGTCCTTTAATGTAATTTCATATTATCCCTGCACTTGTTCGGCTCTTTTTACCATTTACTCCATTTAGCTAGCAATTCAGATTAAGCACTTTCAAGTTCAGTTCTAGATAATAGTTTCTGTTTCAGACAATAGACTTATTTCAAACATTAGCCTTTAGTTCCAGCTTGTTGGGCCAAACATACCTGAGGTATCATGCATATGAATTCATACTCAACTACTAAACGTAACTATAATAGAAAAAATTCCACTTTTGGTCCCGTGACTATTATACCACTTCCACATTTAGTCTCTTACTTTCAGACTGTTCACATTTAGTCCGTGACCATTATCCCCTCACCACCACTCGTCCTTCCGGCCAAAATTCCGACAAATTTAATGCAGATTTTAGGTATGAAAAACCAAGTTTAATGCAAAGATTGATACGAAAAACCCAACCTTATATAAAATTTATTGCAAAGACTGATTCTGAGCCTGATAAGTGGACTAAATTTGCCGGAATTTTGGTCGGAGGGACGAGGGGTGGTGAAGGGATAATGATCACGGACTAAATGTGGACAATCTGAAAGTAAATGACTAAATGTGGAAGTGGTATAATAATCATGGGACCAAAAGTGAAATTTTTTCACTATAATACCCCTATTAAGTTTTTTTTACACTTGTAATTGTCTAAAAAATATGAACATTTTTCTTAAATGAACTCCACTATGTTTTTACTTTATCATTTTATCCATTAATCTATAATTTCATCTTTTACTTTTGTAAACTCATTTCACTTTTTTCTTCTTGATATTTGAAATTGTAAAATAATCCCTTTTCTTCATTTTTCTTAAAACTCACATACTCCCTCCATCCCAAAATGATGGTCCTCTATTTTCTTTTTTGGGATGTCCCAAAATAATGGTCATGTTTCCTTTTTTGGAAAGAAAGATGTGATTCATATCATTTCACTTTATTATATTCAAATCACAACCATAATTTTTACCTTTTCAACTACTTTATTAAAACTTGTGATCAAAAGAAATGAGACTATCAAATTGGGACGGAGGGAGTATATTTTACGTTATACGAATGAAATATTTTAAATTACATTCGTAATTTTGGGCCTTAAATTGGGACGGAGTGTCAAATTTACCAACTCTTTATGTAACCCTCTCACAATTTTGTCATTTTGTTTTTAAGGCTTTGTTTGCTAACTACTCATAAGTTTTTGAACTTTTTAAATCGATTTTGGGAAAAAATGTTTATTATTAAAAATTAGTCGTTTGATAAAAAATTGATTTTAAAAGGTTAAAATTAATAGTGATTGAGAAAATAAGTACTTTTTGTGTAATAAAAAAAGTAAAAAGCATATTTTGACTTTTAGCTTTTAGATACTCCCTCCGTCCCGGAATTATCTTCATTCTTTCCTTTTCGGTCTGTTCCAAATTTATCTCCTATTTCCTTTTTTGACAAGAATTTGTGATTCACAACCATTCTTACACATTTTTCTTTCCTCTGCACAACTCTCCACCACACATTTCACACTATCTTAAAACTCGTGTCCAGTCAAATAAGGAGATAATTCTAGGAAAGAGGTAGTATTAATTTAAGTAAAAAGTTGAAAACACTCTTTTTAGTTTTTAAGCCACAAAGTGGAAAGTACTTTTTTTAACGTTGGCAAAGGGTGCCCATAAGATTTCTCATTTGCACAATTCATATTTTACTATTCATTAGTATTTTACTATTCATTTATATCGTGCACATATACAAGCAACACATCTTCAGATTGGACTCTGAAAGAGACCTCACAATGGGCAGATCCATCAAACCTCAATCTCCTCCCCTCAACAGCAAACCATCAAAAGAATGTCTTTTCCTGCAGGATTTGGAGCGTCAATGGTATGTAGGCCACTAAGCAATCCCATTTCCGTTCCATTTTTTATCTCACTAAATAAGTCAAGGTTAAATGGATCCGAATTTTTTAAAAATGTTTGGTAAATCTGCTTCAAAGTGATCGATTATGTGCATACAAATAATCGTGGGGTTACTGTAGGGTGTTTTTATACAGCAAAAAAGCTAAGCCAAAAAAGCTTCTAAAAAGAAAATTGTTTAGCCTTAAATTCATAAACTAAAGAAGTTCGGCTTTCATTCAGAGACAAGTGAAATAACATAAGATTTGCTTAAAAAAATATCGACAACTATTCGTAAAATACACTCCGTATTAACCAACTAATCATTCAAAAGGCTCGGCTTCTTCAAAATTTTATATGGCAATTTCAATGTGACCATAAATGGTCTAATGTTTCAAAGAAATTCTATAATGTTATCATAGAAGTGATAAAATGTGCATCAACAAAATGTAACAAATTTGGAGTAACAGCACTGTACACTACAGCAAAGATGCACATGTATCAATTTCAGGGGCAGAATGAAATTACCAAATCTAGAAACGCATTCAATTAACTTCACAAAGAGCTTGATAAAGTTGCATGTGGAGAGCGTTTTATAGGACTTCCCAACATGTCTATTCAGGAACCTTTTCCAGAATATGAAAAGTTACTAAAGGTTCAAGCTCCAAAGTGTCCCTACTGTTTTCGAAGGGAAATTTATAATGACAGTAAAGGAAAGGTTGCTTTCAGTTCCTTTCAAACCAGTAAAGTTTAGTCATGCACAACAAAAAAGCAAAGCAATGGAAACAACCACAAAAGGCAAACAAGAAAACGAAACGATGATCCCAAACAGATGGGGCATTGCTCTAAATAATACTCAGATATTCACAGATCTTAAAACAGCATAGGGTTATGAAATGTAAAGATCAAAAGATTTCTGGGTAAAACCACGCATAAGGCAATAGTATATATTTCTGAGAACCAGTTCCATTAACACAGACTAATCCACTTCTTAGAACAAAAACTGGCTAAAGGATAACGCCCTGGAGATGGCAGTTAGCTAAATCCTTCAATACACATAAGACACATAAAAAGAGAGACATGATAATATAAAACAGAGATGAGGTATGTGAAGATTCACAATGTCATTCTCTGAGTAGTTGGAGAGACAGATCAACGGTTGCTGTTCTGGCATTCCCGGGCAAAGTGACCCTCCTCCCCGCAGGAGAAGCAACCGCCGCCGCCTCCACCGCTGCGTCCACCGCCACCTCCACCGCCATAACGATCGCCGCCGCCGCCGCCTCCACCGCTCTGTGTGCACTCTCGGGCAAAGTGGCCGTCTTCGCCGCAACGGTAGCAACCTCCGCCACCGCCTCCCCCACGGCCTCCGCCGCCTGATCCACCGTAGCTTCCGCCTCCTCCACCGTAGCTTCCGCCTCCTCCACCGTAGCTTCCGCCTCCTCCACCGTAGCCGCCTCCTCCACCGTAGCCACCTCCTCCGCTACCATAGCTTCCCCCACCTCCTCCGTAGCCACCAGATCGGCCACCTCCGCCTCTGCCTCCGTAGCCACCGCCACGGCCTCCACGGCCTCCGCCGCCGCCACCTCCGCGTCCTTCTATCGGGTTTCCGTTGGGGCCGGAAACGTCGACGGCCTTGGTACGGCCGTCGCTACCTTCCTCCACAGTGAACTCAACATCCTCGCCTTCACCGAGGACACGAAATCCGTCAGATCTGATACCAGATTGGTGGACGAAAAGATCGTTGCCGCCGTCGTTGGGAGTAATGAAGCCGAAGCCCTTCTCCTCACTGAACCACTTGACGGAGCCCAACTGCCTACCCTGATCTCCCTCAGCCATTGTTGTTTGTTTTTTCACTCACAAACCCTAGATGCTTCTCGGTGTTCTGCGGCAGTGCTTGAATATATAGGGAGATAATGCCACGTTTAAGGGGCGGGTTAGGGTAGAGGTGTAACGGATGGGTGCGTGTGGGGCCCGGTTCCATTGGCGCATCGACTTTCGAAGAAATCCAACGGCCAGGGTTTCTCAGATGACTCCTCTCATACTGTGAATTTGGGCTTTGCATAATGTGGATATTTTTCAAATCCATTTCTCAATTCCTCCTTTTTTCAAATCCATGGATACTTCTAGAGTAGATAACTTTATTCTCAATTTATTCAGGTTTTTTTATTATAATGATGGTGATGAACTGATGATTACTACTTAAAAAACCTAGTAGCCTTTATAGTTGGTCAATTATAAAAGTATTTTGGGTACGGATTTTGACTTTATGGGACATTCACAATATTTTAAAATTTGAAATGGGGTGAGATAAGGCAAAGGTTAATACTACGTATGATGATATCATATACTTTAGTAATACTATCATACGGAGTACGATTTGTGAATAATAAAGTACTCCATAAATACGATTATATATACTACGTATGATTTTTGAATTTAAAATATGAATATAGATACGTACGTGCTCTAAATGTTCATAAGTAAATAACGCGGCACATTATATGTGACGTCCCATACAATTCTTCCTACTTTTCATTTTATGTCGTCTCAAAAAATTATCTCATTTATCATTTTTTGATAATTTGTGTGATTCACATTCATTTCACTTTTTTTTACACAACTACAATCACACATTTTCACTTTATTTCACTTTCTTAATCACTGTGCCAAGTCAAAGTGGGAAAAATTTTCTGAGACGAGGGGTATTTGAATCATCTTAAACAATTTAAGATGTACGGAGCAGTTTTCTGAGTTTTCTTGATCTAAAAGATATATTATTCATAGTTTATATTTAAGGATAAAATAAAAATTATTCACTTTAATAGAATTAGTATATCACTTTAATATTTGAATATTTTGTTCAAATATTAAATACAACAAGTAATCTTAAAATGTAAACAATAAAAAGCAATATATTGCTAGATATGCCAATATCTTAGAAATATTACACTAAAAAGTAATTGATACAAAATAGAAACCGTTGTAGTTTAAAAAATTGATATTCACTCGAAATAAATAATGCAATTTTAATTATAAATCTAAATCAATTACTTTGGGCATACAATTATTCAATGTAAGCACTTAAAATATTTTAAATTGGATTGAAATTTTATGTGTTTGTTTGGTTTTATCAGATATGTTTTGTTTAAGTATGATTTGGTCTGGATTAGTATGGTAGATTTTATGTGTATGATGAGTGTATCTACTATCTAGTTTGATCAATTAAAATCTGACCTAATCTGATTTGGTTAGAGATCGAAAATAGTCCAATTAAAAATATTCTTAATGTTTAAAGTTCATTCTTCTTTCAAAGGAATTGTGAACCACACTTGAACTAATCAGTATAATAAAGTTCCAACCCTTAGGTTAAAAAATACTAAAAATTTAGCGTTTTCACATAATTATAATTTTCTTTTCTACTCCGGGGTATGTTTTACTGGAGGTTGATGGATAGTCTACCCGAGGGTATATATCCGAGGGGTTATTGCTGAGAATAACTTAGAGAGAAGTCAGAGCATAAGCAAGTAAGAGAGAGAGAGTGTATTCAGTATGAATGTCGTGGTTTACAATGGGAGAAAGGGGTGCTATTTATAGTAGCAATAAATGCCGGACAGGGACACGTGTCAAGCGCCCATTGGCCGAGAGGTCACCTCAACTGGTTGGCGCTGGCAGCCGCATGTGGCCGCATTTAATGCGCCTGTTGGATGGGACGTCTGTGCAGGGTACGGTGATCTGTACGCATGTGACGCGGATATCATGTCGGGAGGGGTGCCCTCGGCTGCAGAGGACTAGCCGAGGGCTTCTAGTGCCGAGGACCCCTGAGTGCCGAGGGCTCCAGGTGCCGAGGGCTACTATTTTCGCCGTTTTATCCCAGTTCCTCTGTTTGTTCGAAATATCCACGCTGTGATAGTTTGGAGCCTTCGGCCAGGGGGCCGAAGGCACCCCTGGTGCGTATTGCGGGCTGCTTGGTACTCTGGGCGCCGTGATTTGGGCCTGTTGGGCCTTCTGGGCCTGTTGGGCCTTCACTGGAGTAGTAGGAGTCTGTGGGCCGGGTGTTCCCGGGCCATATACTCCATCAGGAGTCCCTCACTCCTTTTGCCGAAAGGTACTTGAGGGAAAAGAAGTAATTTGTGTTTGTCCCCTGCCGTTGTTCCGTTGTAATTTCTGAGGTTGGTTTGTTGCTTGCATGTCCCTGCCGAAGGCAGTCCCTCAGTTACCCACATGTCGGGACTTGAGGGCTTGCTTTGCCGTTTGTTGGGATTTTTCACCAATTTTGTAATTTAATGATTTTCCCGAGGGGGTTCTCCAGTCCCCCACTCCTTGAGGCACTTGTAAAGTGGTGAAAAGGAGTAGAGTAGTTGCGTTAATGTTGTGGGCCGAAGGCTGACGCTTTTCGTTTCATTTTGGGGGGATGCCTCGTTAAAAACCTCATTAGGAAAAACCCTGTGGGAAAAAATCCTAATGAGGGAAAAAGAGTGCACCGAATCCCCCCAACGATGAATCGAAAATGTGAAACCTTGGTCAAAAATGGAGAATAATGGTAATGCCGAAGGCTCTCTTTTTCTGAGGGCTCATGTGTTGATTAGCCGAAGGCTTGCTGTTGATGTCCTGGGGGTGCCGAAGGGGAGCCCCTCAATCTGGGGATCGAGGGCATGATGGATGAGGGCAGTAATTGAATTGTCGCCGGGGGGTCCCCTGCTTGCTGGTTAGTTGGTGATGAGGATACCCGAGGGCTCCCATTACCTGTGTGCTGTAGGCTATCCGTCAAGGAGGCATACTCCCCGGGGGCTACCCGGCCCTCACAATGCTAAGGGGGGATCCCCGAGGGGTGCCCTGTCATGAAGCCTTGGTCTTCTGAAGGAGTGATCCCGAAGGCGTCTGTTATGTGCTGTGTGGGGCACAACCCGGGGGCGTCTCTGTGTAAGTGTACCCGGAGGCTCTCCTTGATGGAGTGGAGCGAAGTAGAAAACCTGGGGGCTTCCAGAATATAGCCGTTGGAAATATAGCCGTTGGAATATGTATCGTCGGGATATAGCCGTTGGGGGAGGAGGACACGTGGCGCGTGACGGTTGGCTGCCCGTGGGCGGCGTCACCGGTTGGGTGAAAACACGGCGCATAATGATGACGGTCCGTCCGGAGGCCCGGTTTCGGGCCCAAGCCCGGATTCCATCGCCTATAAATACCCCGGAGCCAGAGTCATTTCTTCTTGCACGATCACCTGTCTTAGCGAAGCTCTGTCGGAATTTTTCTAGAGAGAGAAAATCACCCTCGATCATAGCAACTTTCAGAGGTCAATTCTTCCTTCGTTCCTCACCGTTTTTCGTAAGCCTTTGCTCCCTGGCCTTAGGTTAGGTGTTATAGCTTTGTAGAGAACCCTCGATTTAGGAGTCTTAGCCTAAGTACACCAAGGATGTCATCCCAAAGCGACTCGCAGAATCTCTCGAGGGAGCCCTCGGTTGAGGACGAGGTTGCTTCTGATGTTGAGTCAACTAGCAGTGCGCCCTCGGTTGCTGATGACGAAGCCGTAGCCTTGGAGTTGCAGAAGGCCCTTGCTGCTGAAGTGGAAGCCGAGGGCTTCGAACAGGAGTGCGAAGATGAAGAATTAGCCTTCGCGTATCAGGTGGCGAAGGACGAAGCTCAAAAGGAGGCGATGACGGTTACTGTTGTTGTGCCACCCCCTCGGAATGACTGTGGTGAGCCTAGTACCTCCAGGCCGTTGGACCCGACGCCTCTGAGGATGGCCCCCGGCAATAAAAGGAAGATGAAGTCGGAGAGGGCTGCCCCCAAGAAGAAGGGTGTTGCCGCTGGTGCTGGGGGGACGGTTGAAATGCCAGAGGGGTATACCTGGCTAAATACTGAGGCCCTCGATATCAAGTCGAAGGCGGACAAGGCGGATTTGTACGTCACGCAGCTGCACGTTGGGCCCTCGGCCGAAGTGGTGGAGCCAGGCGTCGATGATTTGCTGTCCCGGCCACCCGAGGGATGTATTGCCGTCCACATCCTGTCGGTGTCAATGGGCCTCTGGTTCCCCCAGCACCCATTTCTCCGGGAGTACCTCAGGTTCGTTGGGCTCATCCCTTTCCAACTTACCCCCAACAGCCATTCATATATTGCTGGCTTTCTGCACCTGTGCCGGACGAGGGATGTTACCCCAAGCTTGGACCTCTTTTTCCAAAGCTTCAACTTGTGCCGAGGGGGGCACGCGAATGCCGAGGGCTTCGCCAATTTGCAGCAGGTAGCGAAGTTCAAGTTGTTCACCGAGGCACCCTCGTCCAACAAGGGCTGGAAAGACAGATGGTGCTATGTTCGGTTGGCCGAGAACCCCTTCCCGAGGGAGCTACGGGACCGCTTTTGGCGCCACGAGAAGGTGGGGAGTATTGCCCTAGAGAAGGATGGCCTGAAACTCGCCAAGATCCCGGAGGGCAAGAAGAAGATCGTGACGATCAAAGAATGTACTTTTGAGGATGACTTGCATGCCCTCGGGTTCCAATGGTACCGGTTCATCGGGGAAACAGACGAGAAGTATCCCGTCTTCGCTGAGGCCTTCGGGGGAGCAGGAGGTAGTCTACGAGGGCCCTTAGTCTCGTATTTAGGCATCCTTATTTTGCATCCCGATAGTTGTCTGTTGTATGGATCCTTCGGGTTAATCTTCTCTTTTCATTGTTTTGCAGGTATGGAGGCTCTTTTTGCCATGAAGAAGAAGAAGGAGAGGGCTCAGGCCCAGAAGAAGGAGAAGAAGGAGCCCTCGGGCCAAAAGCCCATTGATGAGATTTTCCCGAAGGAGGCTGCGCAGCCTTCTGTTGATGCTGCTCCTGCTACTGTGGCCGGGGGGCTGAAGGCCGAGGTGGCCGTCAAGAAGAAAAAGGGAGGCAAGGGGGTGGAGCCCCCGATCAAGAAACAGAAGGTTGACGGGGGAGCCGTTGAAAAGGCGGCCCCCCTCATAGTAATTGATGATCAGCCCTCCGCTGACCCCCCGGCCATTGACACTCCGATGGCTCAAACAGATCTTCCCCCGGGGAACCTGCCTCGGGAGATTATTCAGCTCTCCCTCGCTCCGAGGGCATCTGTGTTGCACGGTTCAGCTGAACCGATGTCTTTCCTGAGGGGGATTACCTCGATGATGGATAAGGAAGCCCTCTCCACCTATGACGACGCCGCCCTCGAAAGCAAGGCCCTTCGATCATCTCTGGCTGTAAGTGTTTTTAC